ACTTGGTATGATAGAACTTTAGTTCCATTCCGTTCTCCATATATCTATTCACGTCGTGTGGAAGATCTTACAACATGTAATTAATGGAGACGCCAGAGTTCAACATAAATACAATATTTTATTTTTTTTTTTTTTACAATGAGATATGGATATAACAAATAACAATCAAGCTCAAAGTCTATTCAAATTATACAACTCGGGAGCAAGCAAAATATGGTGGCATGGGAGAATAAGCATCCCCTGTCGACAATTAACAAGCTAAGTCAATCGAAAAACCTGCCAACGCTTTCATGCATCAGATAGTTGTTTTCCACACTTGTTGGTTTAGTTTACAAGATGTCGGCTTCTATGCATGGAGTTCACGATTGACCAGTATTTGGAGTTGATGCGTTAAAGAATGAACAAAAATCAGTTCATTGCTTTATAAGAATATGATTTTATGGCAGTCCTTCCGAGGCAGAGCAACATTTGAATGGACATCCACAAAAAATGCGACGGGATATTTTTTTTTCATTCTGCTTACAGTACCTCTAGGTTAATAATAACATTGTTAGCAAATATAACCTATTAGTCGGTCGTATTTTTTGGCATTTTTGTTTCATATCAATTGTTAGGCCTTTGTTTGTTCTGTTTACCTGCTTACAGTGGGTATGACTGGTAAAAAGGGGAGATTTTATTCTCCCAGCCCCTGACCCACTCTTAGTCAATAAAGAGAACCCCAAATATGACATGATGCTAGTGAATTACCAAGAAAAACAGGAACTTGTAGAAGAATGCCCTTTTGGAAACGTGATAGTGGCCCTGTTTCACCACGGCTCATGCTCGCTTACACCTCTACGAGACTCTACAGCCTTTAGGAGAGAGGGCCCTTTATTTCGATACAGACAGTATCATCTACCAACATCAAGAGGGAGCCTTTAACCCCACCCTTGGCATTACAGTTTAGGAGAATGGACCGACGAATTAGACGGGGACCACATCATTAAATTCATGTCGGGAAGACCTAAACATTATCACTATATCACAGCCAAGGGAACTCAGGTCGGTAAAGTGAAAGGATTGACTCTGACTTATCGGAATTCCAAGATCGTGTCCAAAGAGACTTTACAAAAAATGCTGATGAAAGAAATAGAGGAAGTCACAGTGTCTTATCCCTACCAAATCCAGAGGAACCGTGATCATGAAGTCCAGACCAAGCCTTTAAAGAAACCGTACAGAATTGTATATGATAAGAGACAATTATTGGTACCCTCTTATAACACTTTACCTTATGGATATTGATTCAATGTTGACATGAAAATAAAATTGGTTTTTATTGTGTTTCTTTCTTCATAGTCTCTATAAAAGGCATTCTAATTCAACATGAAAGGTCATTTTAAATCATACGTAGTCGCGAGCCAGACCAACCCATGCGTTATCCCCAGTATGCTCAGCTCTCAAAGAGAGAAGCTACTTTTGAGCAGGGATGGCCAGAGCCTCTCCTAGGAAAAATACCAGACATAGCCCGAGCCGGGTTTTACTACAAGGGAGTGAAAGATAACGCTACCTGTTTTCATTGTGGAATTACTTTAATGAATTGGGATCCCGAGGACGATCCTTCTGTAGAACATGCCTATTGGAACCCAAATTGTCCTTACATCAATCAGTATAAAGGACGAGGGTGGGTGATGAATTTGTTCATTGTGGCTTTAGAGCAGAATAGGTATAAACCTTTACCTGAGATCAAACCTCTACTGAACCCAGAGCCAGACGTCCAGGCTCGATGAAAATGTCACATTTGTTTAAACGAGGAATTACAAATCGTTATAGCTCACCTGAGCTGAAAGCTCAAGTGAGCTTTTTCAGAAAAGCAGTCACATTTTGTCCGGCGTCCGTCTGTCTGTAAACTTTTCACATTTTCATCTTCTTCTCAAGAACCACTGGGCCAATTTCAACCAAACTTGCCACAAAGTATCCTTAGGTGAAGGGGTTTCACGTTTGTTCAAAGAAAGGGCCACGCCTTCTTCCAAGGGGAGATAATTATGAATTAGTAAAAAAATAATGGCATTTTAAAAAAATTTTCTTCTCAAGAACCACTGGGCCAGGAAAAATGAAACTCATTTGGAATCATCCTCAGGTAGTGCAGATTCAAGTTTGTTCAAATCATGACCCCCCGGGGGTAGGGCGGGGCCACAATGGCCGACCAAAGTTTTACATAGAATTATATAGGAAAATTATTTAAAAATCTTCTCAAGAATAACAAAGCCATGATTTATCATATTTATATAGAAGCATCCTCAGGTAGTATAAATTCAAGTTTGTTCAAATCATGACCCCCGTAGGTTGGGCGGGGCCACAATGGCCGACCAAATTTTTACATAGAAATATATAGGAAAATTCTTTAAAAGTCTTCTTCTCAAGAATAACAAAGCCATGATTGATCATATTTATATAGAAGCATCCTCAGGTAGTGTAGATTCAATTTTGTTCAAATCATGACCCCCGGGGGTAGGGCAGGGCCACAATGGCCGACCAAAGTTTTACATAGAATTACATAGGAAAATTCTTTAAAAATCAGCAAAGCCATGATTGTTCATATTTATATGGAAGCATCCTCAGGTAGTGTAGATTCAAATTTGTTCAAATCATGATCCTCGGGGGTAGGGCGGGGCCACAATGGCCGACCAAAGTTTTACATAGAAATATATGGGAAAATTCTTTAAAAATCTTCTTCTCAAGAATAACAAAGCCATGATTGGTCATATATATATGAAAGCATCCTCAGGTAGTGTAGATTCAAGTTTGTTCAAGTCATGACCCCGGGGGGTAGGGCGGGGCCACAATGGCGGCCCAAAGTTTTACATAGAAATACGTAGAAAAATTCTTTAAAAATCTTCTTCTCAAGAAAAGCAAAGCCATGATTAGTCATATTTATATTGAAGCATCCTCAGGTAGTGTAGATTCAATTTTGTTCAAATCATGACCCTCGGGGGTTGGGTGGGGCCAGAATGGCCGACCAAATTTTTACATAGAAATATATAGGAAAATTCTTCAAAAATCTTCTTCTCAAGAATAACAAAGCCATGATTGATCATATTTATATGGAGGCATCCTCAGGTAGTGTGGATTCAAGTTTGTTCAAATCATGACCCCCGTAGGTTGGGCGGGGCCACAATGGCCGACCAAAGTATTACATAGAAATATATAGGAAAATTCTTTAAAAGTCTTCTTCTCAAGAATAACAAAGCCATGACTGGTCATATTTACATGGAATCATCCTCAGGTAGTGTAGATTCGAGTTTGTGCAAATCATTCCATCTCTCCTTTAAGGAATGGTTGGGACTACTTTTTAGTTTAAACGTTTCAATAATAAACTAATTTCTGCTTTATGCTAGCCACAGTGCTCAGGTGAGCGATGTGGCCCATGGGCCTCTTGTTCTACCTTGTGGACACGTGTGTTGCTGTGCCTTGTGTGCTCCTTCCTTCCAGTTTTGTCCCATCTGTCGAGGCGAGATTCGACAATCCAAACGCCTATTTCTGTGTTAACTGTAAATAAAGGACAGAACCCAAATTTGCAAAAGTTTTGGTGTTTTCTAATGCTAAGCAAGCTCCTCACACCTATTTTTTTTCCCCACACTCAGTGATATAGAATGAGATTTTTGAATTATTTCTTATAAAATATTCTCTATTGGTTTTCCTCTGCAAGCTAAAAATAAATACACCTGAGAGTCTATATAAAAAGAGACACCAAACCCAGGGATCATTTCTGATCTGAGTGAGGGATTGAGCACAGCATGGAATTTGTAACCTTTGAGTATCGTTGGAAAATAGAAGAAAAATGTATTCAAGATTTCTTTGGTAAGAATCCAGGACAAACAGTTCTCAATGAAATCTACCTGTATAAAAGAATGACGTTACCCGATCCCAAAGGGGGCAGCATCATGTTCTTATAAGGACCCAGACATCCCAAGTATCGGGAATTCAAATGAAAAGTCAAATACGTCTTGGTTCACCAAAGAGAGGGACCCGAAAGCACTTGGATTCAAGGGAAATGGATGAAAAAAGCCGGAGATTGTATTAAAGGTTATGCCAAGATTGTGGTTCTAAGAGAATACGATATCATGGACTGTGCTTGTGAAACACACTATTTGTACATGAGGAGATCTTTCCCCTTACAAAAAGAACTGAAGAAAAGTTTTGAATGTTTGTAATTATGATGTTCTTGTTGTTATGAATAATAAACCATAGAAACCAAAATTCTGGTGTTGGTTTTCTTTTTTCCTAAGATACACTTAGCTGAGATAAAAAAAAAAAAACAAGACTTGTTTCTTTAGTTTACACTTTTATTGTTCAAAACGACATTTATTTCCTTCGTATCGACACAATCTACTTAGATGTTAGATCCGCTCGCATACTCGCTACACTAACATTGTTAGTGTAGCGAGTATGCGAGAGGATCTAACATCTAATTTTAAGTAGATTGGTATCGACATAAAGGACATCTCCTGTAGGAAGTCTGAAAAAGGTTCTTCACACACTTTTCACAGCACGGATATTGCCTACATTGTCCGTGTTGTGTATTTACACAAGGATGTCTAATTACTAGATAAACTACTTTGCTACAAGGACCACACCATTACTGGAAGTAACATTTTATTGAGGAACACCGATAACATACAAAACCAATACGTACACATAAATCATATCCGGAAAGATATACTACATTCCTCCCCACTAAACTTTTGAAATTCAAGTTTAAAAGTAAATGAATGTTACAATTCAAAATAAAAAATATCATTAAACATCTTCATAGTCTCTGAGTGTTTATATCAGTTGTAAATGAAATATTAGCACTGACTGAATTCAAATGACTAGATTTTGCAGAATCATGAGTTTTATTGAACATCCTGATAAACAAATACAAATATTACACAAATAAGAGCTTTCTGCCCTCATAAATGAAACAAGGGGATTATTATGCCCCAAAATCACAAATTCAGTTTCACAACAGGTTTCCGGTTTCAAACTGGATAACGGCACACAGGCGTACTTGATTTGTTTCCTGAATCTGGTACGGGGTCTTGAGCAACTGCTGGTTCAGTAGGAAGTGTTTCAGGTAAGTTAGGGGTTGCAGTTCCCTCATTTGGTGTAGTTTGACTGGTTTCTATTCTTTGTTCGACAAGCACAATATCAACCTGAGTGTTTATGTTCGGTAGCTGCAGCTGTGCCTCTGCGAATGGCTGCTGTACTGAACTAAGAATTTGGTCAACATGACGCCGCCATACATTTCCTGGGGATACTTCAACTTCATAGGAAATCGGTCCTGTGATGCGATGTATTATGCCGGATATCCATTTATGATCTCCCTTCCTGTAGTCCCTTACTAAGACATGGCCGCCGATGTTGAACTTGCGAGGTTTGGTTGTAATCTTACTTCGCATCCTTTCCTGACTTTGGTCCACGGTTCGTGTCAAACTGGGCTTAGCACGATCCAGCTTAGTTGTGAGATTTCTTCCCAAAAACATTTGTGCCGGAGATTCTCCAGTTGTTGATTGTGGAGTGTTCCGATATGCAATCAGAAAATTGCAAAGTTTCTTCTGAATGGAACCCTCATCATATTTGGCAGATTTCATAGCGCTCTTGAAGGTCTGCACAAATCGCTCAGCAAGGTCATTTGTCCTTGGGTGATAAGGGGATGAGGTTGAATGACGTATACCATTTGATTTCATGAATTGCTGAAACTCCTCTGCAATGAACTGCGGTCCATTATCACTGATTAAATGTTTAGGTAAACCATTTCTTGCAAATAGAGTTCTGAGTACTTCAATGGTATGTGTCGATGTAGTCTTGTTCATCTTGAACACTTCAGGCCACTTGGAATGGGCATCTACAACAATCAGAAACATTGTTCCCAAGAATGGGCCTGCAAAGTCCAAATGAATTCTTTGCCAGGGTTTATCGGGGAATTCCCAGGGATGGATGGGTGCTTCCGGTGCTACATTGCGATGGTCCATACATCCTTTACATTTCTTTGCGCACTCCTCAATACTGGCATCAATACCGGGCCACCAGACATGGCTCCTAGCAATTGCCTTCATTTTCACCACCCCCAAGTGTCCTTCATGGATCATGTCAAGAATTCCTTTCTGAAGTGGTTCTGGGATAATGACTCGGAATCCCCAGAGTAAACAACCTTGATGCACAGTAATCTCCTGTCTGCGTGAGAAATATGGTTGCAAGTCACCATCTGTTGCATCATTCCAACCACGCATGGTTGCATCGTATACCCGAGATAACACTGGATCTCGAGCAGTTTTACGCTTTATTTCACTAGCTGAAACAGGCAATGCGGCTAACTGTGTCATGTGAAATACATGTGCTGTATCTAACATCTCTGACTCCAACGCTCCTTCTCCGCCTTCTGTAGCTAATGGTAGGCGAGACAGTCCATCCGCATTCCCGTGTTGTTTTGTGTTCCGATACTCAATAGAGTAATCCAATCCCGATAAGAACAGTGCATACCGTTGCAGTCTTGCGGCAGTAGTAAGTGGTATACCTTTCTGCGGATGAAATATCGATACCAAGGGTTTATGGTCAGTAATGAGAGAGAAATGGCGTCCATATAAGTACATATGGAAATGTTTGATTCCCCACACTATTCCAAGGGCTTCCTTGTCTATTTCTGAATAGTTCCGTTCGGCACTATTTAGAGTTCTAGACGCGAATGCTATTGGACTTTCTTCTCCTGAGGGATACGTATGTGAAAGCACCGCTCCAAGTCCGAATGGTGATGCATCACAAGAGAGCCTTATCGGTAAGTGAGGATTATAGTGTGCAAGAACTTGATCAGACTTCATCAATTCTTTCACTTTTCTGAACGCTGTTTGGCACTCATTCGTCCAGTTCCACTTCCTGTCCTTCTCTAAAAGCTTGTGTAGAGGTCTCAAAACAGTAGACAAGTTGGGCATGAACTTTCCATAATAATTCACAAGCCCAAGGAATGCACGTAACTCTGTCACATTCTCTGGAATCTTAGCTTCCACCACTGCTTTCACCTTCTCTTCTGTTTTATGTAAGCCATCTTTGTCAACTTTGTGACCACAACATTCTACACTGTCTTTAAAAATGTCACATTTCTTGATATTTGCTCTCAGGTTGAAGTTCTGCAGTCTTGACAAAACTTTCTCTAAATTGCCAAGATGCTCCTCAGTCGTCGAACCAGTTATTATCATGTCGTCAATCATGCAATGTGTTCCGTTGATCCCCTGCAGTACTTGATCCATGGCCCTCTGCCATACTGCTGGTGCGGATGCCACTCCATACATGAGCCTGTTAAAACGGAACAATCCTCTATGAGTATTGATGGTGAGGTATTTCTGGTGATCCTCTTCAATTTCCATTTGCAGGTATGCATTTTTAAGATCCAGATTGGTGAAGTGTTTTCCTCCTGCAAGGTTTGAGAATATTTCATCTACCCGAGGAAGCGGGTACTGGTCTACACTAATACACTGATTCAACGTTACTTTAAAGTCACCACATATCCGAACAGTGTTGTCTTTCTTTGGCACCACGACTATGGGAGTTGCCCACTCGCTATGCTCCACTGGTTCCAGGATTCCTAAGCTGAGAAGTCGATCTAGCTCATTATCCACTGCTGGTTTAAGTGAATGTGGCACAGGTCGAGCCTTACAAAACTTTGGCTTTGCATCAGGTTTTAGGGAGAATTTGGCCTTTATATTCTTCAAAGTACCAAGATCTTCTTTGAAAACTGACTGATATTTGTCAAGAATGATCTGAATCCCTTGTTGAGGTGATACTGCCTGAGAGTATACATAATTCATGGAAAGTCTTTCAATCCACTGCTTCCCAGGCATTCATCCACTGTCGTCCGAGTAACGGTGGTCCACCTCTCTGGACGATGTACAAAGGTAACACTTCTTCTCACCCTTTCAACACTACAGGTACTTGAACAAAACCAAGTGGAGTTAGAACTTCTTCTGAATATGTCTTTAATGTAAGGTCACTCTTTTCCCACTTTAGGCCTTTGAAATTCTTCACAAACTCTGCCTTACTGATAATAGAGAGAGCGGATCCAGTATCGAGCTCCATCTTTAAATCCAATCCATTGACTTTTGGCTGTATCCAAATAATTTCTTTGGAATTTCCACTCATTTGATGAATTTCCAAACTTGCTATGTACTCTTCATCATCACTCTTTTCCGTAAGAAAGTGTCCCTTCTGCGACTTTTGTCGTGACTGGCTATTCTTGCTGCGACACACGCGTTCAATGTGTCCCTTTTTCCCACATTTTCTACAGTTTGCATTTTTGAAATGACAGTCTTGCTGTAAATGGCCCTCTTTCCCACAACGATAACACTTTGTCTCTGTTTTCTGTGGTTTCTTAGCTGGGCGTTTCTGACTTACTTGAAACTTGTTTACAGATGCTAATCCACGATGCTTATTCTGAAGTTCAGCAGCATCCTTAGTGGCTGTTTCCATGGCAACACATATTTCCAGTGCTTTGTTCAATGTGAGTTGGGCTATCGAGAGTAACTTCTCCTGTGTGTTCTCACAGCGCAGTCCACAAACCAAACGGTCTCTCAATGTGTCGTCCAGAGCACCTCCAGATGCACAGTGTTCTGATAATTTACGTAACTGGGCAATATAGTCTCTCACACTCTCGTCAGGTCTCTGGTCTCTCTTGTGAAAACGGAATCGCTCTGCTATAACAATCGGTTTGGGACTCAAGTGGTTCTTCAGAATGTCAACAATTTCCTGGTAAGTTTTATCGGCTGGTTTGGCTGGCGCAGTCAAATCTCTCAGTAAACTGTACGTCGAAAACTGTACCTTTCAATTCGATATCCATTCGATATCGACACAACCTTGTAATGACTTTTTGTTATATGATATATAAAACTTCGTACTATATAATATGTAAAACATTAAGTGACTTAATATATCTCTGTCGATATCGTCGATATCGATTCGATATCGAAAGAAACATGTAGTGTTATATTTGTGTTAGATTGGAAACTTTATTGTGACATCAAGTGGCCTTGTATATCTGTCGATATCGACGCAATTCATGCAGGATTTCAGGAAAGAATTTTGGGCTAACCAGGGATTTCTTGCAAAAATCTCTCCAGAAAAAAAAGTGTGGTTGGAAAAAAGAGTGAAAATTCCACCTCTTGGAGGATCTAGATTGAGGGTAAGATAAAAAGATAAGATAAGATAATATTTATTTGAAGTCGGGTACATCAACAAAGAACATTAGCTCTGAAGAGCTATTTTCCGACTACATAATGATACATAAAATACAACAATCATACATAATAAACAAGAAACAGTTTTTAAAAATTACATCGATATCACACTAATAAAATATCACTATTCCTCCGTGGTGCTTTAGTATTCACCACATTAAAACTGACAAACCTAAAATAACTTAAATCCTGTTTACTAGTTTTTAAAAATAAAATTAGCGACAGGCACAGCAATTACAACAATTTCCGTACCAACTATTTATGTTGGATTTAAACTGGTTAAAAGAAGTAATATTTCTAAAAGATTCTGGTAAAGAATTCCAAAGTTTTGCAGACTCATATTCAAAAAAAACTTTGAAGGGTGAAAATCAACCATCACTATCAGCAATACAAATGGGAGATCCAAAATGATCTTGGAACTCTGGCGAAAGCAGTCTTCACGAAAACTCACTGGTCCAAAGACCAAGGCCAGTGAATTTTGATGTCGGGTCAGTGAAAATCAAAATTCAAGAAGTCCGATGGGCTTGTTGATTATAAAAATCATACACAGTCAATATATATCTTAACTGACTTGCTTGCATAAATTTCATTGATATATGATATAAAAAGAACAAGCATGTGTTGTTGAATCGTATTACATGTATTGTAACCCTATTATAACATGGATGTATTACGTAACAACTGGAACTATTAACTAGTACGTAAAATGTGCGAATTTCCAACGAACAACTTACCGAAACGCGACAAAGGACGAAAAATGGTGGCATTCAAAAGTTGAAGTACGTAAACATGTATAAATTTACAGTTATGAAAATGTATTTATTTTATTTTTTAATTAAGGGGCCAGTAAAAATTTTGGTGGGCCAGTAAATTTTGAAAGTTCACTGGTCCGACTGGCCAGTTAGTTTGAAAAGTTTTCGTGAAGACTGCGAAAGGTCTCTGGTACATGAATTTAGAAGCGTGTCTTCAAGATTTAATCAGGACCGAGAAAGAAGAAGCCTTAAAAAGAATTCTTCCAGACACTTATACACAGTACCTGTTTTGTCGCATTCCCTTTTCCCAGATTAAAGACACGATGGAAAAGAAAGGACCTGGGGTGTTGAACCGAGTGATTGAGGACCGACCATCATCAGAAGATGTGTAAAATAGAGCTAATAAATTTGTTTAAGAAAAGAGCAATTGTTTGTTATAAATAAAAGGGTCACAAATCCTATTTTGCTCAGTATCTCACTGATCATGGTCATCAATTTAAACAGCTATAATTTTTTAGTTCTTCATTTTTAAGGCATAAGGTCAAAATGATTCAATTTCATGTGAACACAGTCCAAAGAAAAGAAGTCTGTCTAACATATGTGACCTCGACTGGCAAATACGAGGGTCAGTTGCGGCAAAAAAAAGTAACAGGAAAAAAACCCCATAAACTTCAGATATATCTGTTTTCTAAAAGGTGTTAATGTTTTCTTGAGATTGTGCTAGTGGTTACAGACACTTATGGAGAGGATAGCCCTTTTTTTTTTTAGGTCACCTGAGTAACTCATGTGACCTATTGCTATCCGTTTTCGTCCGTCGTCGTGCGTTGTGTGTCGTGCGTCGTGTGTTAACATTTGAACATTTTCAGCTTTTTCTCTGAAACCACTGAACCAATTTCAACCAAATTTAATATACAGCATCAATGGGTGGAGGGAAACAAAAATTGTGAATTTCATGGTCCCCGCCCCCCTGGGGCCTGAGAGGTGGGGCCAAAACCACTAAAATTATTGCAATTTTTAAAAATCTTCTTCTTTACTCCCGGACATCAAGCAGTCAAACTGTTGGCATGAATGTAATGAGCATTGAGTCCTCTACCAAAATTGTGAAATTCATGGCCCCAGGGTCAGGGGTTCTAGTGCTAGGGCGGGGCTCTATAGATTATATAGTGAAAATGTATTATTTCTTTGAAAATCTTCTTCTCTCCTCCTGGGTATTAAATAAACTAACTAAGCACATAGTTATGATAAGCAAGAGTGCCTCTTTCAGATTTGTGAATTTTATGGCCCCAGGGTCAGGGGTTCTGGTGTTAGGGCGGGGCTCTATAGATTATATAGTGAAAATGCATTATTTCTTTGAAAATCTTCTTTTTTGCTCCTGGGTATTTAATAAACTAACTAAGCACATAGTTATGATGAGCAAGAGTGCCTCTTCCAGATTTGTGAATTTTATGGCCCCAGGGTCAGGGATTCTGGTGTTAGGGCGGGGCTCTATAGATTATTTAGTGAAAATGCATTATTTCTTTGAAAATCTTCTTTTTTGCTCCTGGGTATTTAATAAACTAACTAAGCACATAGTTATGATGAGCAAGAGTGCCTCTTCCAGATTTGTGAATTTTATGGCCCCAGGGTCAGGGATTCTGGTGTTAGGGCGGGGCTCTATAGATTATATAGTGAAAATGCATTAATTCTTTGAAAATCTTCTTCTCTGCTTCTGGGTATTAAATAAACTAACTAGGTACCTAGTTATGATGAGCAAGTGTGCCTCTTCCAGATTTGTGAATTTGATGGCCCCAGGGTCAGGGGTTCTGGTGTTAGGACTGGGCTCTATTGATTATATAGTGAAAATGCATTAATTCTTTGAAAATCTTCTTCTCTGCTTCTGGGTATTAAATAAACTAACTAAGCACATAGTTGTGATAAGCAAGAATGCCTTTTTCAGATTTGTGAATTTTATGGCCCCAGCTGGGTCAGGGGTTCTGGTGATAGGGCGGTGCTCTATTGATTATATAGTAAAAATGTATTAATTCTTTGAAAATCTTCTTTTCTGCTTCTGTGTATTGAATAAACTAAGTAAGTACATAGTTATGATGAGCAAGAGTGCCTCCTACAAAATTGTGAATTTTATGGCCCTAGGGTCAGGGGTTCTGGTGTTAAGGCGGGGCTCTATTGATTATAGAGTGAAAATGCATTTATTCTTTGAAAATCTTCTTCTCTGCTTCTGGGTATTAAACTAACTAAGCACATAGTTATGATAAGCAAAAGTGCCTCTTCCAGATTTGTGAATTTGATGGCCCCAGGGTCAGGGGTTCTGGTGATAGGGCGGTGCTCTATTGATTATATAGTTAAAATGCATTAATTCTTTAAAAATCTTCTTCTCTGCTTCTGGGTATTAAATAAAGTAACTAAGCACATAGTTTTGATGAGAAAGAGTGCCTTTTCCAAAATTGTGAATTTTACGGCCCCAGGGTTAGCGGTTCTGGTGTTAGGGCGGGGCTCTATTAATTATATAGTAAAAATAAATTCTTTGAAAATATTTTCCTTTGCTTCTGTGTTTTATGCCAATGATCCATGTATATATATATATATTTATGATGAAGAAAGGTGCATCTAGCAAAGTGGTTTTTTTATGCCCCCAGGGTCAGAGGGGGGGGGGGGGTTATATAGTCTGAAAATAAATTAATGCTTTGAAATCTGCTCTTTGGTATTAATCAACCATTTATGATAACATTTGCAAAATTTTGAAACATGTGGCCCATGGGTGGGTGGTTCCTTTAGGGTGAGGTGCATAACTGGGTATCAAGGGGAAGTGCATTTTCTCTTTGTTACTCTGATCTACCTCTGAGTATTAAGTAAAGAGAGTAA